AGCCACTGCTGCTTCCTCTCAAGTTTGTCTAGCAAGCACTCAGGGAGGGCCTGCTATATAAGGCTTCTGTGCTCAGATGGGTATGAGCCTGCCCTCAGCCCATTTAATGCCCCATCCACTGCAATGCTGTGCCCAACCCTGAGGCCGAGCAACCTGCAGGGCCAGGGGCGAGGGGAGGACATGGAGTGGTGGCCCCAGGGAGGAAGCAGTCTAGAAGTTCTGTACCCCTGGTGGAGGCAGGGAAGGGCTGGCAGTTCCCTGGAAATAGCTTGCTTGCCCCAAGTGGGGACATCCTGTGCCACATGGTGTGAGGTTGGGAGCCACCTGTGACCCACCAGTAAGGCTTTAATCCTTCTCCTGGTCCTTGCTGTCTTTGTGCACAGGTCCTCTTGATGTGCCTAACTCCACCATCAGACCATGGCTCCTTCATCCAGAGCCACTGAACACACTAGGAGCTCAGAATGTGTATAGGCAACTCGATCTGTATTGTCTAGGCAGAGTAGGGATCCGAGAACCTAAAAACCCACTGGATCCTTGTCAGTCACCTGTAGAATCCCCTCCTGAAACAGGAGGCTGAGAGCAGCAAGTGACATGCATGGGCTGCTTGACCTCTTAAATCTGTGAAATGAAACAAGTTTGACTTTCTTACCATAACAAATATAATACCTTATTATGTAAATTGAACTATGTGTGTAAAGTTACAGTTTTATATGACTGAAAATGACAAAATACTAAGAATGTCTGGGCGTTTTGTTGATGGCTTGGTGATGTTTAGATGAATAAGACATGATTCATTATTTATTTATTGCATAAAATGTCTTCATTGTCTTCAGTTTAGAAAGATCACTAATTGACATAACCAAGATTTTCTTATCATTTGTAGTGATCTAAAGGATTGAAAATAAAGTGCAATTTAAAAGTTGTTATGGCTTGTATCTAGATGTTCCCCTCAAAGACTCATATGGTCATAGGTGGTGCTTTTCTGAGATGGCTGGATCTAGGGTGTGTGATGCTGTGATTGATTCATGGTCCATCGTTAGCATTAAGGGCACCCCACCCTGGGTGTCTGCGATATCTGCCCTAAGGGTGGGTAGACTGGATAAGATATAAGGGAGCAAAAGAGGGTCACTTGTCATTGCTGCTTTATGTCTTTGCTACTTCACTGCTTTGCTGCCTTTTGCTCACCATGAACTGTTTCTCCTTGGCTAGGCCTCTCTGTTGTGCCACCCTGCCTTGGCGCCATCTGACTATGAATTGAAACCTCTATACACTGTGAGCTGCAGCAAACCTTTCCTCCTTTAACTGTGGATGTTGGGTATTTTGTCTCAGCAATGAGAAAAATAACTAAGACAAAAGTGTACAGAATTTGAAGGGTAGAGGTTTAGGTTAGTAGCAGAGCACTTGGCTAACATGCTCAGGGTCATGGGTTCAATACCCAGTACTGGGGAAAAAATGTATATATATTCATCAAAAATCTAAATTAAATTAAATATAAACACAGAAGGATGCATTTTTATCTTCAAAGATTGTTTTTATTTTATGAAGCTATTAAAGATCAAAATATACACAGTGTGTGAGGTGAACTACTCACATTTTTGAATGTTTTATAAAGATGATACTACAGTTGCTATGTTCAGTGCCCATCTAATTGCCAATTTAAAGGATTAGTGTCACATTTCATGTTGCATTAGAGTAATAGGAATTGTTAAATGCTGTAAGATGCTCTTCAGCCACCACTGGCACTTTTTGTGAATACCACACTAATTCATGAGAACTTTTAGAACCGCTGAGTGGAACAGGAAGAAATGCCAAAAAGGAAACAAACAAACAAAAAAAAGATGCTCAGCATTACTGGAAAACTGATACTTGGTTATGTAAGAAGCAATTGCATGCTGGTATCTGACAGAAAGGATTTGACAAATTAATTTGTTTTCCCTCTAAGACACTTTTGCCACTCAGCCCTCCCACCCCCCACCCTGTCTCCCCTGTCCCTCTACCCACCCCCGCACGTGACCTTCATGGCATCTCGACTCATCATCTTTTGTTCTTGAAGCTCAAGAAACAGAAGAATTTGTGTAGGCCTGAGTGGTGTTAGTCAGGGAAGCAGATGGTTAGGATTACAGGTTACGTGGATGTGTGCCACAGGGATTCCTGTATGTTCTTTGATAAAATCTGTGAGTCTGTGACCGGTGGGGCTCATGATGGTGGGTCTTTTTCTCCCTAAGGTTAACTCAGGGGTCTTCCCAATGAAGAGATCTCTGCCGTACAAGAAAGTATAGGCAATAGATCTTATGCTACAGCTAGAGTTTAAATTAGGTTACTCAGTTCATTGATCCATTTCATTCATGTGTGTATTTGTTCATTCACATAAAAACCTAGCCTCAATCCTTCATCTCATTGTAGAGTGCCAGGCCACAGCAGTCTTTTAGTGCAGCCCATGATCCTACAGATGAGGGAACTGCAGCTCAGAGAAGGACACTGAAATACTTAAGGTTACACAGCCAGGCCGTGGCAAGAGAAGCTGAAGGCTAAGCTTCACAAGCAGGGCATTCAAGCCAGGGTTGATTTGGGGGTAAAATCTGAAGAAATATTGCCATATTCTATCAGCTTCATTTCTTCCCTCAGCTTCTGCCACCATCCCAGGGTCCTGGAGTGTGTGTGTGTGTGTGTGTGTGTGTGTGTGTGTGTGTGTGTGTGTGTTTGTCTGTGTGTTGAGTGAGGGGACTTCAGCTTAAAGATCCACTCCTCTTTGGGGCCAGCGCTTCCTTCAAATGACTCATAGGCTTTTACTGGCCCCTTGCTGGAAGCCAAGCAAGGTAAGGTTAGAGCCGAGCCCATTCCTGTCACCCTCTGCCTGGACCTCAGCTGGGTGACCCTAACACTGAGCCTTAGCCAGGTTGGATGCAGGAGATGGAAATGGAAGGCAGATGTTCCTGGTGGGCAGGGGCTGGATGAGGCCAGGGCCCAGGTGAGGGTGACCTCCCCAGCCAGCCACCCCACATCTAGGGGGAAGTTGTTGGGTTTTTTTGTTTTTTGTTTTGAGGCAGGGTCTTGCTGTGCAGTCCAGGCTGACCATAAACTCACTATATAACCTAGGCTGGCCTTGAACTTGAGGTGATCCTCCTGCCTCAGCCTCCTGAGTGTTGGGATTACAGGTGTGTCCCACCATGCCTGGCCCACATCTGGTTTTGAAGGCAGCTGCTAGCCTAGGCTGGCAGCAGAGCTGGGACCCCTCAGGGATGATCTGTGGCACTTTCTCTTCCTTAGAGGACAGTGAGGTGTGGACAGAGAGCGCTGGGCAGGAGTTGTAGACTTGATTTTTTTCTTCTTCTTCTTCTGTATGTTGGTGATGGAACACAGGGCCTTTGCATGCCAGGCAAGTGCTCTGCCACAGAGCCGCACCCTGGCCCTGGACTTGTGTTTTTGACACCAACTTTCTGGTGACCATGTCAGTTTCCTGCCCCTCTCTGGGTCTCAGTATCCATGTCTGTCTCATGGCTTGCTGGCTGTGACATTTTATGCAACTTGGTATGGCAGGGTTTATGTTAAAATATTCATGTTTAAAGTTCAATTTTGCTGCCTTATTGGATATAAATACCTCTTAGAGCTTCTGTTTTAGATTTTTGTTTTGTCTTGTTTTTGATGCTAGGTTTGGAACCTGAGGCCTTGCACATGCTAGGCAGTTAAGCTATACCGTCTGCCCTACTTTAAATGTTTAATGTGTTAATTAATTTAATCCCCCACAGCAGTCTTATAGGTGGATTTTATTATTACTGTTTTGTACAGAAGGAGAGGTTAAGTAACTTGCTCAAGGTCATCCTATAGACAGCCAGATTCTAACATGAGCAGTTTGACCTGCCAGCATCATGCTTTCAGCATTGTCCTTGCTGTTCAAATTGTGGTCCGTGGACCACCTGGAGCATGCCAGAGATACAGACTCTTGGATCCTGCCTAGACCTATCGGGCTGTAGTTTAACAAGTAGGAGAAGCCCTTATCTATGTACATTTCTCTGTCAGTTTAGGTCTTAGGGTCACTATGTAAGATAGAAGAAACAAGTATGCTTTGTAAACTAGAGTGCAAGGCATCACAGGCACTTTGAGTGGCTGGGCACTGAGGAGTAGAGGCAGGCTGGGCTATTCCAAGGTCTGCCTACACTGTCTCTCAGCTCAGCTCTGTCTGCCTGGTCTGAGGCAGAGTCTTGGCTGCATGCTTCTCTCAATTGTGTGGCTGCAGAGTCCCAGTGAGCTGGGGAGAGTTCTCCTGCTGACATGGGTCCTGGGCTGAGCACTAGGCTTAAGCCATCACTGCCCGGGGTCCCAGCTCTGGCTCTGCTTCTCTGGGTGAGATGGTCATGTCCCTGGTCTGCCAGCCTCACTGTCCCCGAGAAGGCAAGGTGGCAGCATCCTGTGAGGCCTGTGGTACTGATGCAAAGTCCCTTCGCTGCTGTCATCTTGCATGGCCTCAGTACCCTCCCTTCCCCAGTTCTTGGGTAGGGGGCTGCCCTGCTGGCTGCAGAAGCTGAGCATGGAGGAGGTGTGCATGAGTCAGAACTCAGGCTCATAATTGTGGTGCCCCAGATCTGCTTCCGGCCCACCAGCCCGCCCTCTTCTCCACTGCTGCTTTGGAAGAACAGCTGGCCTGGCCACTGCCTTAGAGTAACAGGTTCCCTGCAGCAGGAGAGAGCCTCTGCCCCCAGGGTCCTGGCCTTTGGGGGCCTTTGAGCCCTGCAGAGTGGCCCAGGGGGCTCAGGGAGCAGGTTGTCTGGGTGGAAGGTAAGGCTGGTGTATGAGTGGCACAAGGGGAAATGGGATCCATGTCCTTTTGAGGCCCAGGGATTAGCCACCAGCGTCACAGCTCCAGGGCAGGGACCAGAGGTAGCCGTCACTGGGTCCCACACCAGCACTGGGTGGACCCAGGGTGGAGTTAAGGGTGCAGGGGTCAGGTAGAAGGAGGGTGGGGGCTGGAAGATCTCACTGGGTTTGTCCCCTTGTTCCCTCAGCTCTTCAGTAAAGCTACATCACTGCCTCTGAGTACAGGACACCCTAAGGAGCCCAGCACACAGCCGCTGGTACCTTCTTCCAGGTAAGAAAAAAGATAGGAGGGAGGAAGGTAGAAAGGAGATAGAGACAGACCACAGAGAGCAGCCTCCTGGCTTCTGGAACAGAATCTGCCTCTCTTGTGGAGGAAGTACCCTATGGTGAATGAAAAAAAGGCAGGAGGGTAGGGATTCTTGTCTCATTTTATGGAGTAGCAGAACCGAAGCTCTCAGTGGAGGTGTCTCTGGCTTAGCCTCCTGAAGGTCTTGTCTAAGGGCCTTGCATGTAGGAGCTCATTTCATCTTCATAATGAACCATGAGGAAGGTATCATGCCCATGTTACAAATGAGGAAACCAAGGCCTAGAAACATTAAGGAGTTGCTTATTTAAGTGGTAAAACTGGATTCAAATCCAAGCAGCACAGACTGTTCAAACCCCTGTGCGTCCCTGGCTCTCTAGGGCCGAGTATTAACTGTTACCTTGACCTTCAATTTGGTCAGTGAACCTTTACCTTGGTTTACTGGACCCCCCACTCTGGGAAAAATTGTATTTAAGAGAGAATCCTAGGGAAAGTGGTTCTTCTGCTAAAGGGATGAATGGCAAGTGGTGGAATTGGAGGCCTTAGTCATGGAATTGGTGTGAACCTTCAAAGTGGACTGGCCACCTCCTGGGCTTTCTACATCAGTGTCAGAGCAAGGCTAATCTTTGATTGCCAGAGTGAAACCTGGATATTTGAAAGAGGCTCCAGGCTCTGAGAAATGCCTAGAAGCAGAGAGATTGCTGCTCTTTACAGAATGCTGTGAGGAAGAGAAATGTTGTCCCCATCACTGGGCAGAGTGGCAGATGCTTAGCCAGATGGATCACAAGTCTCAACCTGGTTCCGGCGGCCTCAGAAGCAGGTGATGACCTGCAGTGTGACATGCGCATGAAGTGAGCTTCTGTGGGCTGTCAGGCCAGGTCTTGCTCAGGGTCCACTTGTTAAGATGAATGGGATTAGGGTTGGCCTGGGGGAGAAAGGCAAGGAGCTGAAGAAGCTGGGTAGCATGGTGTTCTTGGAGCCCAGCAGTGGGAAAAAAAAGGGGACAGGAGGAGGTGAGGCTAAAGAGGTAGGAAGGGGGAAGGATGCAAGAGAAGCGTTCCTCAGATGGCAGTACTTGCTTCTCTTGCCACCCAGGGCCACTTGGGAAGCCTGTTTGTATAGCTGCCCTGCTATACTATGTAAGTAAATAAAATAAATAACTGCTACCCATTCCTTCAAGGGGTAAAAACTGGGCAGAAACCAGTTTGCCCAGTGCAAGTCTCTGCCACACTTAGCCCTGTGGCACTCCTGCCCTGGGGCCTGGGAGAGGCATCAGGTCAGGCCAGCCCTGACCTGGTGACTGAGTCCCTGGGGTCCTCTGTGGCCTTAGCGTCAACCTGAGGGGGAGAGGGTGGAATCTCCCCCTCCGCAGGCCCCTGGGCTGGCCCTTGAGGCCTTGGGTGGGTGGGGCTGTTTGCTGGCTCGCCAGTTCCAGGGAGGACTGAGCGATGCCACGGGGGAGGGGAGAGTAAGGGACAGAACTGTTCCCAGGACAGCCTTCCTGTAGTTCTGGCAGCTTGGTGGGAGACCCTCAGTCCTGCAGAGAGGCAGGGGCCGTCACTGGGGTGGATAAGTCTCTGTCTGATCTGGGAAGCCTGGCACCACCACTCCTTGCTGTACAGGGATTTCTGCAGGGACGGGAGGCTGGGAGAGATTGGCTCCACTACATGGTCAGTGCTGACATTTTATGACTTAGTAGTTCTAAAATGCCAACTAAATTGTTCCAGGATTCCGTGATGTATGTTTCTTACATACATCACGGGCGAGTCCAAAACTCCAGTTTTGTGGCACTTGCAGCCCAAGATTTGGAATTTGGAGATGCTCAGCTCTGTTCTCTGAGAAAAGCCAAGTCATGCTTGGTAACTACTCAGCTTGCACTTTTAGTCCTTACCTGGAAAAATAGATTCCCTCTGTGCTAAAAAAAAAAAAAATAGAAGGCCTGAGGCTGGCACCTAAGTCTACCTCCTGTCCAGCCTATGGCCCCTAAGGTGTCCCAGAACACAGGTCTTTCCTCATGGCCTTACCTGAGGGAGAGGCTCAGCAGACATCTGTTTCTCAGCTCCTAGCATGCAGGGCATATGGTGCGAGGCCTCTCAAACACAGCACTGAGTGAGGTCCAGACCTAGAGGGACAGGACAGATAGTGCCCCGAAGGCTGCACTTCAGGGAGGAAGCTGGCCCTTCCTGCTGAGAGAAACAGGGAGCACTTCTGATGGAAAGATGGGCCTGCCTCCCTTCTTCTCAAGGAAGTAGCAGTCAGAGGCTACTTCCTATCAGAGGGATACAAGTGTCAGGTAAATAGGAGATTCTGGCATCACTGAGCAAAAAGTTTCACAAATGACTCTAATTATGGTGTGATTGATTCTTTGAGGAGTCTGGCTTTCAGCCTTGCATTGAGTAACTTTTCCTCCACACAATGAGCAGGTGTGACAAGGGGTGGTTCCACCTGGCTTTCTCACTGCTGAAGCCTACAGACTGTCTCCTCCCCACCGCAGCTTCCACAGGCACCTCTTTTCTGCCCTGGGTCTGACTACCTTCTCTGATGATTTCATTAGAATCTCAGGCTTTCTCTGAAGCCCAGAGAGGTGGAGCAATTTAGCTAAGGTCACAAAGTGAGCTGGTGACAGTGTAGATCCCTAGAGTCAAGCGTCTAATGAAGCCATGTGGTAAGAAAGTCTTAAATCTGTGGACGCTCCCAAAGAGCTAACCACAAATAGCTGGAGAGCAGTAGTGTGGAGCCTGGGATTGGTTGGCTGTACGTTTCTTGGTGGGCTTTGTACAGGCCTTTGGAAGTGGAAATCCCAGAATCAACATTATCCCCCCACTCCCAGTCCTAGGCCTGTGGCCAGAGATTGATTTCGGAGATTTGAGTTTGTTTTCTTTTGGGAATGGCCCAGTTGGTGAGCTGCTTGGGAGATGCCCTACTGGTCCTGGAAGGAAGGGAAGGCGCCTGTTGGAAGCAAGCCCCACCACAGCCTCCACATGCAACTTAAATGGGGCTTCACTTGCTGGCCACAGCCTAGAGGCCCCTTCTGCCCCTAGAGAAGCCTCCTTGCTGGCCTCTCGGTCCTGTTCTGTGCGGTCCCCTTACCTGGAATGTGCTTCCTTCTCCCATTTATGCACCAAATCCCCTCTTATTTCTGAATTATGCTTAGCCCCCACCTTTTCCAGAAAGCCTCTAACAGGTTAATGCTGTGGCCTGATGAAGCCTGGAGCTCTGGGACTCAACAGAGACCCTGACCCATCAGAAAGTCTTCCTGGAAAGGGGCCTCTTGAGCTGAGACAAAGAGGGCTTGCCAGAGGACAGACAGAGGGACTCTGGGGCACCAAGCTTTTCTGCCACACTGAGTGGGAGCAGGGGTCAGCCACAGCAAGGACCACAGCAGGGAGCTAGTCATACTCCAAGACCATATCCCCCAGCCCAGAAGAAAGAAGTCATTGTGGTCTTGTGCCTTTCATACCTGAGGTTTACTCTAAGTGAAGTGTAGGTCACTACTTTTGTAAGTTATCTGAGCTATAACATGCCTATACCTTGGTCACTACCAAAAATGGCAGGGACCTCAGGCTGACCAGGCCTCCGACCATGTTACAAGCATTCCTACAGCTTTCAAATGGGTGACAGGATGGTTATGTACTGCCAGGACTCCCAGTGACTTGGCCCAGGGAATGTAGGTCTCCTCAGGCAGAGCAGTAGGGACTGCGGGATGTTTCCTGTGGACACCCTGGAGCAGCCTTATCCCCACTTTGCACCTAGAGGAGAGGAGCAGGCAGGTGGCTGTAAGCCTTAAAAGCCGAGTGCTGGAAAGGTGTTCAAGACCTCCCATGATACTAGGGCTGTGATGGTCCCCCCGCCTGCCAGTGGCTGAGCTCAGACTCCCAACTATCAGCCGAGCTGGAGCTGAGGCCCCAGTAAGGGCAGCCAAAGCCAAAGAGAAGGGAGTGTTTTCTCCACACTTCCCTCCTTCCCCAGGAGCTGGCTGGCAGGCTGCTAGAGGATGTCAGGCATTGGCTATCCCTGCCCTAACACCTCAGAAGTTTTCTTCTTCCTCCCAGACCTTGGAAACACTTGCTCCATGCCTGCAAATGCCATCTGCCAACCAAAACACCAAGCTCTATCCTTTGGGGAGCAGTTCACAGTTCCATAGATGCTGTAGCCAGCAGAGAGGTGGAAGGGGATGTGAATGTGGGCAGACCCTCCCTCTAGGGTTGCTGCCACAGGAAATCTGGGCTTTAGTCAGCGGCCCTGAATTCAAATCCTCCCTCCTCCATGATTAGCTGTTTGGCCTTATGTGAATCATTTAACTTCTTGGGTATGTGTGTATGTATTTAACTAGTAGAGTTTTTAGAAGATCAGTTTTTAGGTTTAAAAATTTGATTAGCGAGTACAGAGTCCCCTTATACTCTCCCTCACTGCCTTCCCCTACACTAGTTTCCCCTGTTCTGTACATTTTGTATTAATTCAGTATATTTGTTATAATTAGTGAACTGATAGTGATACATTATTATTAAGCCCATAGTTTACATTGGAGCTCACTCTACCTTGTATGTTCTATGGGGTTTGACAAATGTGTGATGACTGTATTACTAGCTCATACAGAATAGTTTAACTACTCTGAAAGTCACCAAGTTTCACCTGTTTCTCCCTTTCTCCCCCTGATCCCCTAGTAAGCACTGATCTTTTTGCTGCCTGTGTAATTTTGCCTTTTCTAGAATGTCATATAGTTAGAAGCACACAGTATGTAGTCTTTCAGATTATTTTTATCCCTTAGCAGTATGCCTCCAAGTTTCCTCTGTGTCCTTTTATTTTTTTTCTTCCAATACTAGAGATTGAAACTAGGACCTGCACACTGAGCGACATTTTCAACCCCTTTTTATTTTTTTTTTTAATTTTAAGACAAGGTCTTGCCAAATTTCCCAGGATAGACTTGAACCTGCCACTCTGGAGGATTATAGACATGCACCACCAAG